GTATATGTGGCTGGTGCCTTAGCCACTTGAGCTATAGGTGCTGAGCCCATAGACTCTTTAAGTGTGCAATCACTTTATGAAATAATTGTCTTTTTCTCTTTTCTTTGCTCAACATTCTACCCCCAGAATTGCAGAGAGTATATGTATTAAAGTGGGGCTGGGCACAGTAGCTCACACCTGTAATCCTAGCACTTTAGCACGACTAGTTCCATGAACCCCTGTGTAACGTTTATAATTCTCTCCCTTAACTAACAGCTGGACCCTTTTTGAGTGAGATCCCAGAAATGACAGACTCTAACTCTTGGCCTCAAGTGATCCTCCTGCCTCAACCTCCCAAAGTGTTGGGATATAGGCTTGAGCCACCATCCCAGGCCTCAGATGATAGATTTTCTACAAGACAAAGGAGCTGAGATTCTCGAGTCCTGGGGACAGACTTCCTGCTATCAAGGCTTACTGTCCCCCACAACCTGCCCCCAGTGCACCTGAGCCCCTTGTTAGTTACACCACAACCTGCCCTGAGGCACTTGGCCCCACATTAAAAGCCCACAAAATCCCTCAATGGAGAGACAGATTTGAGGCAGCTTCTCCCGGCAAGACGTCTGTCATATTAAAAAATTCCTTTCTTCCTTGGCAATCCTCATTATCTCAATAATTAGATTTTTCTGTGAGGAGCAACTGGACACAAACAGGACCCCTCTTGTGGTTTTTACAATATTGGGATACCAAAGCAGGAGGATCCTGTGACCCCTGGAGTTTGAGGGTGCAGTGAGCTATGATGACACCTCTGTACTTTAGACAGAATGAGATTCTGTTTCCAAGATAAATTAGGAAAATAAACAAAAATAAAATAATACATAAAATAAAATACAGTTCACTGTCACTAAAACAATTCTTAGATTAGTTTTGTTATGGAGGCATTTTATATCAGCTCAATTTCTAAACATCATGCAATGTAAAATAAATCAACAGCATTTGTAAGAATCTTTTTAAAATGTAAAGTATCATTTTGAAAATAATGTTATCCTGTGGATGTGTAAGAGAAAATGTGGTGTTTATGTGTGTGTTTAGAGAGTATATGCATGCAATGAAATTCCTTTAATGTACAGATGGAAGTTTATGTTGATTTCAGTAAAGACCAGGACATAATGGTAACATGAATAACAGATAATAGCATCTGGCACTCTTAACATTTTAAGCCCTGAAATCTTTGGAGAACTGACAGTTGAATGAAACTGACAGCCCTAGTTATTTCTCAACACTTTCCTTTTGAGATATTTTGAGTTTTTTCCAGATTCAGGATTTTTTTTTAGGGGGCATCTGGACAGGCTATTTCACTGAGAGAGACAGACAATATTTTCTGAAAATTACCACCAAAATTAAGCGACTGTTGTGCATATGAACTAGATAACAATGAATTAGAAATAATCACTGGATTTCTGATTGTGTGGTGGGGCAGGAGGGAGGTGGCAAGCGGAAGGTGCAGGTGGGGGCAGGAAATCCCAGGTGAGTCTTCAAACACTGCCCGGGCTGCATGCAGCTATTCAAGTAACACTCTGGAAAGTGACGAGGATGAGCCAGTTCTGTATCCAGGTCTCACGTTCAAGTCACACGGACACGCCTGGTCAGAGAAGCTTTGGTTCTGCTCGGAGGAAGCATTGCAGGCACCTTCCGAAGGACCTTCGTTGGTGTCTCTGCCACATCTTGCCACTTACCATTTCTTCATTATTGTTTTTTTCTTTCCATTTTAATTTTTCTCAATATTCCCTAAAGTATCTCTATTTTTTGGTGAATTTTTTTCCTTTCCCTTCTCTCCACTTCCTCCTCCTCTTTTTTCTTCATTCTAGAAAATTCTAGGTCTATTATTTCATTTTCATATGTCAAGGAGCAACAACTTTACTTCCCCAAGCTTCTTCTCTAAAAATTCTGATAATAATCCTGTTGTTCAGGGTTGTTGGGATAATAAGACCCTGTATATACATATATACCCTGTGGGATATATGACCTTGTATGGGATAATATTATCCCTTGTAAGGGATAATAAGACCTTGTATGAAGTTCATGTGCAATTTAAAACAGTGTGCAATCTAAAATATTGCACACGAACTTCATGGACACCCTATATAAAGATTCCCTGTCTTTATCTTATTGGTTTATTTATTTTGTTGTTGTTGCAGTTGTCATTGTTGTTTAGCTGGCCTGGGCTGGGTTTGAACCTGCCAGCCTCGGTGTATGTGGCCGGCGCCATAACCACTGTGCTACAGGTGCTGAGCCTCTTTATCTTATTGTTGGTAGGATACTTGTGATAGCTTCTCCAGGAGGACATTTCATACAATCTAATTTTTTCAAAATAATACCTATCAGACATCCTATTTCTCCTTTCAAGATTCAGAACAAGATGTGAAAAATAACTCTCTGTGAATGGATTACCTTGGCACAGATGAGGGAACAAAGGACAGGGGTGAGAAAACAGTGATTCAGAAGCACTGGTGTGTGTGTCCTCACCAACTACAGCTTCCCCAAGTAATGACTCACCCTGTGCAGAAAGCTGTAACAAGGAGCATTGCACTTAAAAAAAATACTTTGTCAGTGCAAACCTAAGGCCAGCATTTGGAGTCTCAGAACTCATTGGGCATCTCCAAAGTCCTGTGTCACTCTTAGTGACACTGAATTCCCACATAGCTTCTGAATTCCCTAATGAATTTCTGTCATAGATTTACATACATTAGATAAAAATATACTCTGGTTGAATCTATAAAATTGCCGAGATGAGTCCAGATGTTTTTGGAGTTATGTAAGAAAACAAGATTGGAAAATAAAGATAATGTGTTTATTATGAGACCCCATTTTTTGGCTTCCTGGGAGATAACAATTATAGTGAAGGAGGTGATGGGGGAGTCTCAGAATATCCAGAGTGCAGTGTCAACTCTGTTTCCGAGGACACAAAAGCACAATCAATGTCAAACAATATGAGACACCCTAAATGAAAATGAGAACCCACTTGAGGCAAAATTCCTTTGTTACTACTGAGGACTGAATCCTATGTCTGCCACTGAGTATGGCTAGAAAGACTTTTGGTGCACACACTGATCATGGTCGATTTACAACACAGTCACAAGGATGAGTACAGAGAGCCTTCGTGCCACTCTGCATGTGGCATTGAGAGCCTTCCAGAAGGTAGACCCCATTGGGATTTTGACCCTACATGATGGGTTACATGCACTTTGTAAAGTGCTGTCCCTCTCACAACGCGATGGCTGCTACTGGACCCAAGGCCACATACCTTGGGCTTGGAGTCAGGTTTTTCTCTAGGGGTGTAGATGTGATGCCATGATCTGAAAGGTCATTGGCAGCAGGAGAGGAAGCAGTCTTGTGAGTTAGAGGGCATCCCCCTTTTCTAAGGCTAACTTGTATGCAGTAGGACAGAATCAACAATCTTGACCTCAGTATGGCTGGCTGAGCCAACAACCTGACTTGCATCTCAGACAAGTTGTGCAGAATGATCAAGTAAAGTGAATGCTGACAGAGTTTCAGATTAGACAAATACAGAAGACCCGCTGTGAGTGAACCACCCTAGGAACAGCAACAAACTGGGCAACATGAAGAGGTGGTCAACACAAGGAACTAGGCCTCCTGTACATGTGGTACAAGTGTGGTCTATGAAAATTAGGTCCACTTAAGGAGGTGGTGAGTGTAGGGAGGTGGTCAGCTCTGGAGGCTCTACTCGCGATGCAGCTTAGCTGTAATGTCTGTTTGTTCATTGGCACAGCCTGAGATGGCTGTGGGCCATTGTGGTGGAGGGAAGAGACACGTCTACTTTGTGGCTGGCAGTTTCCCACTTATAGTAAACTGTGTATTATTTTAACAAAAGGTTCTTCTAAAATAGTTTTATGATAGATTAATTAAGGCCGCCCCTAAACACTTAAGGTGAATTTTTAAAACCCAAGCAAGATAAAATAACTAAAGCCAAGTATGGCAGAATCTAATCAAAAGCTGCTGTGTGTGAATCCCCTCATCCTTCTGGATGGTCGCATGGGTGGTGGAGACATAGAGGCCGTCTTAGATCCTAAAGGAGTCTTTCCGGGGCCCATCCCTGGCCCCTGGTGTGGAATTAGCCATTCCTTCCTCTCCGCACTGTGTGCCTACTTGTGCGACTCTGTTATGAGCATGTCTGGCTACAGATCAGTCCTCCTACCAGACTGTGAGCACACGCACAACTGAGGCACACATGGTGGAAGTGTTTCCTAATTGTCACTGCAGCTCCAGGACCTATTTCACTGCCTAGGCTTAGAGATACTGGAGAAAGTGTGTGGAAGAAATGAAAGCAGGAAGGAGGGAGGAAAGGAAGGAAGTGGGGAGGGAAGGAAGGAAGGAAGAAGGAGGGAGAGAAGAAGCAAGGGAGGAAAGGAATGAAGGAAGAAAGAAGGCAGGAAGGAAGGAATGGAGGGAGGGATTGGAAACAACCCACTCCTGTGATCGCTGGCACAAGTGCTGACTTATGCTCTGAGACATGAAGGCATGTGCAAAAATCAAATTAAATCCCCCCACGAAGTCTCTGAACTTCAGAAAGCTGAACAAGGTGGTGCACTTCTGCTGACAATGGCTGTTTCAGTTCTTTAACTGTAGCAACTAAGAAGCCTATCAACAACTTTCCTGAGAAACAGCAAAATAAAACTGCTTAGTGTTGTAACTAGGGTCACACCTGCCATTATACAGTCTAAACAATGGGGGATTCAGGCCATCAGTTCTTTTGAAAGACACTAATGAGTCCAGGGCTAGTCAGGCCTGGTTAGGTGGCTCCCACTAAGGAGATAAAGACTGGCTTGGTTCCTGCACTGCAATGACATCTGGCTTTTGAAAGTGAAAACACCTACAAGATAACCAAATACACAAATAGGTCTCCTTGATTTGGAAGCCATACAATTTAGACATCTACCTCTTGGGATCCAGTAACATAAACAACTCTATACATAGGCATGCTAACACAGTTTCTTCAAGGAACCAAGGAAAGGAATTTGACCTGGTTTGCAGATTCTAACTTGCCTCTGACTTGATTTCATTTTGAATCTCTGGTTCAGAAAGAATTAGTAAGTTGGCATTTCAGTGGTGAACCATGACTTGCCCCTTGCAGGCTGCTGTCTGCTCTTGGAAAGTGCACAAAATTGCAGCCATCATGGGGCTAAAACTCACTATAATGACATAGTATTTTAGGCAAGTGATAGGAAAAGTTGGATTCGTTTATGAATTTCATCTGAATTTAAAAATCACCATTTTACCAAAGTCAGAAACAAGGTGCAGAATTATGTCTTATCTAAACAGGAATGTGAAATCTAATTTAGGAGGGCAAACCTCGTGATACTTTATAATCGTGCTCAGTCTTCAACTTATGGGTTGACGTATCAGAACAATACCTCTTTCTCCTCCTCTGTCTTCCCTTGAGTTTTGCTGTAGTTGATAGGAGTGTCCCAGCCCTCTTGCACACACAGGGCCTCATAGAACGCAGCATTGACCAGAAGGCTGCTTGTTTTGAATGGGGAAGAGGAAGGAGTTGGAATGGAAGGGTTAGAGGAAGCTGGAGCTGCGGCCTTGTCCAGGATCCGATTTTTTTTCATGCTTAAGTCCAACGTGCCATTTTCATCCACTTCTATCTCAGCTCCCTGGTGTACAAGAGGAAACAGAAAAACATGTAAGCAGTTTGCAGTTACAACCTAGCCATGTGGGGCTTTTAAGGGATAATTTTAAATGTAAGCTTTTATGTAAGTATATCTGCTTTTAAATCTAGCTTTCTGATTTGCACTGGGTAATGTTCAATTCTTAGGCAGACTTTTAAGGACAGCCCATTAGTGAGATTCACATTTCTGGGCTTAAACAAAGTAAGCTTAATGTAAATAAGATGCTCCAAATACTAAATGTATTGGCTAAAACGATTTTATATATATACACGTACGTATATATGTGTGTATATATATATATAAAAGTTTAGCTTTAAATCTTCTTTTCCAGTTTACAGAATTATCACTCCCAGTTCATCATTTAAAACATTAACATTCGTGTTTACCAAAAGGCATATATAACTTCCCAACCCCCCATCACAATATTAATCTCACATGAGAAATGTGCAAAAATAACCAGCTGGAAGAGAATTTTTATTGGAATATTAGACTAATAGGAAAGTGGCATTTTACACGAGGTTACTGAAAGTGGAGAAGCTTTGTGAAATTATGGGTGTGGGGAGGGCGAGATGGACAGCACAGTGCATGCTTTATTCTGGGGCCTTTAGGGAGCAGCCACAAGCTCAACTACAGGGCAACCTTTAGAATACTGGAAAGGTGGTTCCTTCTAGATCATTAGTACAAGACTGAAAACTCCTCCTACCCCGCCCCCCCACCCCCCAGCATTCCTTCTCAGGATAGCTTTTGCCAAGTTTTGTTTGCTGGTTGGCTGGTTTTAGGAAACAGTACCTCATTCTGTACTTTGTGCAAGTCCCAAAAACTGCTCTGAATTTTCTCTAAGAGTCACACGCAGGACAGCCTATGCATGTTGTGGATGGTGAGTGTGACTGTGCAGTGACTCTCAGACGGGGGCAGAACATAACTGTCATTTTTCTAAATGGGTCCAATAACACCTTTCTGATATTTTCACCAACATCCATTAATTCACAATTAACTGGTTCTTAGCTTCTCCATTTTCTCTATTTTTTCTCTCGGCTGGAGAGTCTTGGAGTATGTTAGCAAGATCCTAAACTGACGGGGTAACTGGCTACTTCTCAGGGGATTTATTTTAACTCTCCTTTTGTCCTTCCCTTATCCCCCAAACAGGTGCCACTGAGCTAGGATTGCCCTGTGGGGGTCGCAGCCCGAGCACCTCTCTGTCCCTTTTACCTGTAAAGTTCCTATTTCAGTCTCTCCGCCTACGAGGTGGATATGCTTTTCTCTATTTGTGGGAGGTAAATACACTTCTAATATGTTGTGCTAAGATGCTTTGGCCGTATCTTTCTGTCCCTTTTTAGTAAATAGTTTAATCTCTCGTGATAGTTTTAAGCCCCGAATTTGGCAGTACAGCTTATCCGGGATAATAACTTAGTAACCACAACATCTTATGCCATCTGTATAATATCAAATACGTTTTCATACCAGCATTAATAAACCTTAGTTACAAAAATCCAAGATATTAACCATATCAGTGCCATGTGCATGCTCTCTCTCTGTGATCTCACAATGCATTCTGCCAGGAGCACATCAAAACCATTTTTGGCTTCATAGCTAATATGTAAATAGCGATGAAACAGAGCTATTAGTAATCAAGTTAAATGGCCGACGTAAAGTAAAATGCTAAATATTGTAGTTGCTGACATTTTTCATAAAAAAATTAAAAAAACTTGGGTTAAGACTGCACAACCAACATTCGCATAAAATTCCAGACCTCTGTGACAGATGGCTTAGGAAAAGGAAGCCATGTGACTGGGCTGCAGAGTTTTATAGTGCAAAACCCATAAATAGTGCAGATTCGATCTCTCTGGAAAACTATCACTCTTCCAAGATACTAACATATATTTTAGTTTTTACAGACTAAAATTCTAAATTGTAAATTAACACAATGAGAGATTCTAGGAGTTGTTACAATTAGACATCTCAAGTAATCATGGCTTGGTTGAAAAACAAAAGCAAAAACCACTCCTAGTGTTTAAAAGAGGTGCTTTTCCACATCCTGCGCCCAGCCGGCTGCTCCGAGCACCTGACTTCACAGGGAGAGAGGGGCCTGCTCGCTGGGGAGCAGGGTACAGATGGGCTTTAAGTGAGCACACAGATGCCTTCAACAATTACGTGCAGCATCAGAGAAGGGTCCCTTTCTGCCCGTAGATGGGGGATCACACGTTTACAGCATGAGTCTTTATTCAGAGCCGTATCAATAGGCATCACTTCTCTCTGTGCTTGAAACTCCAAGTGGCAGCAAAGCAGGAGGGAGGGGCCCACTCTACAGCTGACATGGGTTTCCCCATCCAAGCTTTACAGTATTTTGAGTTTTCTAAGTGCAATTTTAGATCTTTAGGTATTTAAGTTTACATCTTAAGGTTTTTTTGTTTTTTTTTTTGAGGTTAGCCATTGGTCTAATACTAGTCATCTACTTTCCAACTGAGGAGGGACCCCACAGCCATCTATTTCAGCCACTTTTGAGTTATGGAAGCTCCCTACATTTTATTTGTTAAACCATTGAGAAAGAGCATTCTTTTAAGACACTATATTTTAGGGAAAATGAAACTTAAAAAAAATAGATTGTTTCTGCCTTTCAAGGAACTTATTCTATGCATGCAAGAGATTTTTAGTGAAAGATAATTTCATCCATTTACCATAAATTATAATTAAACTTAAAGTTTAAACAATTACTCATTGTAATCTTTACCTGCACTATAAAATAAGAAGTGACCTAGACTTCTGCCAACAGAGAAATAATGAAATTATGCTGTACCTATTTAAAGGTACATTAGGCAGTCAGTAAAATGATAATTATGAGGACCATTTCTACATGCAAAATACTTTTCACTGAAAGCAGAAAAACACCATAGCATTCCTACTACACCTGCAACTAGGGAAAAAGGAAATTTGTTTTCTGAAAAAGAATAAAAACGAAAGCACAAAAATTATTGTATGGGCTTGCACTAAGAGAATAGACTTTAGTCAGCCCTGGTGGCTTGGACCTATAATCTCAGAACTCTGGGAGACCAAGGTGGGAGGATTGCTTGGCTCAGGAGTTTAAGACCACCCTGAGCAGGAACAAAATCCTATCTCTACTAAAAATAGAAAAAGTAAGGTGTTGTGGTGGGCAGCTGCAATCCCAGCTACTTGGGTGGCCGAGGCAAGAGGACTGCATGAGCCCAAGAGTTTGAGGTTGTTGTGAGCTAAGATGCCACTGTACCCTAGCCCGGGCAACAGAGTGAGACTCTGTCTTAAATAAATAAATAAATAAAAATAAAGAGTAAGTTTTAGGCTATTTTCCAGGTAAATGATAAAATCATGTTATTTTGACAATTAGAAATTATCACACATTTAGTGATGAAGTTAAAACAAAATTATAAATTTAAGTGTCCTGATTGTAAACATCACTACTTCTAATCATTGATGAAACAAGACATTGTTTTCTCTGCTCGGCAAGCTTTCTATGAATAGGGGACTAGATCTGCCATGTTTTCCTTTCTGACTTGGCTGAGGGGACGTCAAAACCAAGTGTCCCTCCTTAGTTTCTGCTGTAACTAGTGCCTGGCTTTCACCTCACAGGGTCTGTGTGTTCAATCTTGCTTTGAGGATTTTTATTTGGGAAGTATCTTTTCTGTATTGAAAGCTATCTTAAGTACATTTTCAAAGTAGGCAGGGTATTAGCAATAAACAAAGAAATGAAAATATCTTATTCTTTTTAAGTGGCAATTGAATATTAAGGCTTTTAAGGTTATAAACCTGTGGAACATACTCAATATAAATAGAGTGATGGAATTCAGAGGAGAAGGACTGATAGAAGGTATAAAATTTAAATAAAATTTATAACCATTATCCCAAAAGCTTTATCTGGGACTTGGAATCATGGTCTGGGAAAACCTTTTTTAGGGTGAGGGGAGCAGCAGTCTAGGTACCATAAGATCTTTTAAAAAAGAAGTCAGACAGGGTGAACTTGAATTTTAGCTCCAATAGTTAATAGCTGTACTACTCAGAGAAAATCATTTAGTATCTCTGTATTACTGCCTCTTTACCTGCAAAATGGCATAATATATGTAGTATCTACTTTACAGAGATTCTAAAAGGATTAGAAAGGATTCATATGGGGAATGTGCTTATTCTTGACGCTGGGCACACGGTAGACGTCCCATGACTGACAGCTAACAATCCTAACAGGTCGACAAATCCCTGGCACCCTGCACACAGGACTAAAAGGGGCCGGTTACTAAATATCTAGTTTCCTTACACCCGTATCAATCAGTTCCTGACCCCTGATCCCTGACCCAAGATCCTCTTTCTGAACATTTTATTCCCAACGTGTGGTCTATCTGTCCCGATGTGGGAGTGCCCAGGAAAGGCCACCAGACTATGCCTGGCATCAGCCAACAAGAACAGAGATGCCACCTCACGTTGCTTCTAGCCCTCATTCAAGCACAAAACAGACTTTGAACTTTAAACATTTCAAGCAAGTGTCAATTTTTGTTTTCTTTTAAGGCATACTGCGCATATGCCATTTTGTCTAAACAGGTGGGGAAAACACCAAAACAGACAACAGAATGCTTGGCAAGCAGCAGCGATGACGATAAAGACAGACCGTGAGGCCTGCTTCTACCTCTGGTGATCAGGCTGGGGGAAAGGAGGAGACTGGGAGAGAAGCCCCCACAAACCAGCCAACCCTGGACGCGCACGCCCTGCCTGCACCCGAGGGCGTCGTGTGCCCTGCTCCTGTTATGGAAAGGCAGTGGCAAGACGAAGAGGGCGGGCTTGGAGCTGTGTCCATCTGTGTCTCACTGCTCATATTAATCCTGAAGTTAAACGAAGGACAGGGGACACAGCTTACAGCTGACACTCTTACAAAAGCACCTTTAACCATTATGACGTCCACTGAGTATTCACAGCACTTACTGTTTTCTCCTGACTTAGTTCTCTTCTGAGAGATTCTTAAAACACATACAGTGATTTTGGCAGTGTAAAGGTGTTATGCACATCCAGACTATATTTAGATAAATAATCCCTTTGAAATTTTCTAAGTACAGGATGCAAAGGGCCCTGGGCTGGGCAGTGATCAGCTATGCAGATGAACACTGCCAGCCTCAGTCCTGGGCATGGTGTGTGGCTGGTGCAGGGTGGACACTGGTGGAGTGGATGGATGACTGTGTGACAGCAATTGGAGCCTTCAGTGTTGGTGAGGGGCAGATGGGCGACTGTTCTACAGGGTGTCCCCAAACTCACCATGCATGGGGAACTGACAAGCTCACATAATAGCAGCTATCTTGGGAAATGCTTGCCAATGAGCAGGAGAGGAGACTTCGTGTGTGTGTGTGTGTGTGTGTAGAAAGAGCATGGCTAACATGAAGAGATGATTTTGTAAATATTTTATAAAATTTGTAATGAATATTTTGTAACTAAAGGTACGTTTAGCCACCATTTCCTGTTTTTGCTATGTATGGCAGCTTTGGGGACACTCTGTAGTGTGGTTAGGCCAGGAAAATTTGGAAGGAGAACATTTTAAAATGTCTACAGCATCCCTCATTATTTTTAGAGCATGTAGGAACTCAAATGATTCATTGCCCCTCTGAAAATAATCTGTGCACCCATGACCTTCCATAAGAGCAGTGATTTTGCAAATCACTAATTCAGATTTCCCACTAAACTTTCAGTCAGCTGGGAGCCTACAGGTAGCTGAAAAAACTCTGTCTTATTCCCAATAAGTTGGTGCCTCTTGGCTTGATTTTAAAAAGGTTATTCCCATGGGTGACAGTATCAGTATCAGACTCAGTATCCTACTGAGTGTTCTAGAAAACTGAAGAAAGAATTGGAAGGAAAACAGAAAGAAAGTGAGAAATCAGCCCTCACCTAGGTTCTCAAACAAATGAACAAACACAACCATTAATAACAATTTTGCAATATATACACACACGGGTCTTTCTATATTTTTAATAATAGAAGTTTTCATGTAGAAGTACATGTATTTCTGAAGAATCATTTCTATGTATTTCATATTTGTGTTGTCACATTAACTTTAATTCTCTAATTGTTAATGGTACAAATGGATATTTGTATACTGAACTTTAATAAAAAAAATAAAAATAAAATAAAATAATAAAAAAATCAGAACCTGAAGTTCAAAAAAAGCTAAACCCTCGTCTCACATTTTACAGATGTGTTCAAGGCTCTGCATGTCCTACAAAGTAAGAAATGGTTAAAATAGGATCTCCATTTACTAAAAACCATCAAACAAGCTGTAAGAAGGAATCAGTTGTATGTACGATACGCTACTATATATCTCCAGGAAGAGAAGGATCTCCAGGAATGTACGATACGCTACTGTATACCTCCAGGAGGAGAAGGATCTCCAAGAATGTATGATACGCTACTATATATCTCCAGGAGGAGAAGGATCTCCAGGATATATTAAGTGAAAGGGAAAGTAGAGGAGAATCAAGACATGGTTTGTGCAAGGCAGATGCACCTCTACTGAGCCTTCTCACCAAAGGCAGCAGAACCTGCGTCTGAAACCAGCCTCCACGTGAGCTCTCAAGGTGCGGCAGGGAGACCCTTCCCTGTCACTGAGACTCTTTCAGGGACTCCGTGAGGTCAAAACTATTTTCTTAAAAGTACCAAGACATTATTTGCCTTTTTCACTTTAATTCTGTCCTGAGTGTACAGTAGAATTTCCCAGCCACTACATGTGTGATATTGCAACAGACAGAGTGCAAAACTGGTAATGTGAATCCAGTTAATTTTCATTAAGCCAGATATTAGAGTTTCAAAAATATAAAATGCTATTTTTCTTGCTACCTTTTTTGCTTTGAAAAATTTATTTTTTATCTAAAACCATTGTTTATGTTTTCTGTAATGGATTTGTTATCTTAAATGAATATATATTTTTAAATTTTGTTTTAATTTTCGATATGGTAAATGTCTATATATAAAAGAAAAATTGAAGCTTTAAAAAAAAAAAAAAAACCAAAGTCACTGTGAAGCTACTTGTGCCTACCCTGGACTTGGAGAACCTACCCTGTTCAAATCCAGCTCTCCGCATGGAGCAACACAAGGCAGGTGGACCCAGAGGGTCACTCCTCTCATCCTGCGTCATTTGTAAGCTCCGTAAAGGCAGGGCCTGTGACTGACTGGCCTGTGGTCAGGGCAGTCTCGCATGTAGAGACTTTGCCTCAGGACAACTGTAAATCTGGGCACCATGATGTCTCTAATACATGACAGTGTCTGGGTAGGAACGAGCCACCCATCTCTACATCCATGTGTCTAAATGAGAAACTCACCAGACCTGCAGATTTGGGCTATTAGAAATAAACACACTAATGACCTGCCACAGAGGAGAAGTAAAATCACAAAGGAAAGGAAACCAGAGTAGCATTCAACGTGGACATGAAGACTGTGTCTGTTTAATTCTGCAAAGTCAGCCCCGACAGCAGAAAAGGCCCACATCGGGCACTACCGACAAGGGCAAGTTTTTAGGGTTAATTACATTGGCCTTTTCTGACTTTTGCTAAAACAAATTTTTTTGTTGTTGTTTCAGGAATTTATGAGCTTCTCTTCTATATTCAGAAGATAAGATCCAACTAGGACAGAATTCTGAAAGTCGCTACAGTTGTGTGCAAATGTGCATGTGTGCGCACAGGGCCAGGAGACGCCAGTACAGCGACATTCTAGGGCACCACATTTATCCTACTTTAGCAACCACTATGTCCAGGGAGACAATTTTCAAGGGAAAATGGTTTTTGAAACCCCCAGCGTAACAAACTCCTTTGGAAAGTCGGTCTGTGCACTTCCTGCCTCTTGCGTCCTTGTCAGCACATCAATTGTTTGGCTTCTGCCACTGAGACTTGGTTGGCAGTGGGACGCCGAGGCGTGCAGTGAGTTCCTGTCACCTGGGCGAGTGGGGTGAGCGCCACAGAGCAGCCTGGCACCGATGCTCCCAACAGGAGCCCAACAACATTCACTGGAAAACGATCATTTGAATTTTTGAAATGTATCAACTTAACAGTGGCTTTTCTGACCAGAAATGTGTTTTTAAAGAAAAGAACACATCTTCATAAGGATGAAAAAACTGCTCCGACTTTAGTCATCTTCACTTGTGCATTACTCGGTGTTAGCAATTTAATGGAACATGAACCATCTAAAGGTTAAAGGCAGAATTCCGAGGAACAGGAAAACAGCTCCACGTGAGATGGAAAGCATCATTCTGAAAGAATTTACTCGCGTAATTTAGGCAACATCAATGATTATGATATTGGTGCTTTCATTCTCACAGGGCAGCCACATAAGGAAGCTATTTCAATACTTCACTAACTCGATGCTTAGTAGGGTACCTTCTCGTAAAGAAAAAATTTATTCTGGTTTAAAAAAATAAATTTAAAAATAACTAAAGTTGTTTATAAAAATTCCCGAATATGTCTAGGTAAATAATTTTTGACTGGGATTCCTTTGAATTTGGATAGCATGGTATTTTCTTTATATTTTCAGAGCATGTTTTTCTTTGTTTAAGAACCTCATTTGTTTAAAAATTGTTTTTGAGTGGTTTTTGGCCGCCAACTCTTCCTGGGGTTTACTTGGCTCGGCCTTGTCCAGAAGCTAATTCTGATTCTTCTGTCAAATGCTTGGTGGCACTGTGTTACCTGCTCTCCTGAAGGCCTGGCACGGCACAGGCGAGCAGCTGACCACACTGGGGACCTGCCACACTTAAAGGGGACAAGAGGACCTATGGACTTGGACAGGCCAAGTCTTAGTGTTAGCATGTAACCCAGAGAATCTTCCACTTAAAGCAAGACTATCATTTCCTCTCCAGTAAGTCTGGGCACTTTATTTTAGCTGGCCTCAGCTACCCAGGTAGGGACTCCTTTTAACTGATGTCCCTTGTGTAAACAGGAGTTACTGGCTCCAGTGGAGCACAGGAGCAAACGGCTGAGCCGCTTTTGCAGTGGATTGCTGAGACCCTGCAGCCCCTCACTGGTGAAAGGAGGAACTTTGGTTGTTTTGTGTGTATTCAAGTTATTAGTCATTGCCAGTTAGAAAAGAAAGGAGAGGTTATGGGAGAAATGTAATTGATTTCACGCGCTACAGAAATGTGGCCTTTGTGCAAACTTCACAAAATTTGATTTTATATTTGAATACAAAGCCCTGAGTTCTCTACCCTCCCTGAACCGCATCCTGTGGGTTCCATGTGTCCGGGTTTTCCTGTGTGTTCCTGGAGACCACTGCAGCAACTTAGACTATCTCCTCCTGTACAGGTGTACCATGTCCAATAACAAAATTTGGGGGTCAAGTTTGCAAATGTCTTACAAGCTACTGTTTCATCAGGCATTTCTTCCCATCTTTGATTTGCAGACCCTGAAAGCTTCCAGTGTTATTTATTTGAAAAGCAATTCTCTTTTCTTGTGGGCCAAATTCACCATTTAAAAAACAGCTTTGAAATCCGTAAATTCTCCCCACCCAGCCTCTATAACCTGCTTTTCCCCAGACTAAGGTACCACCTTCAGAGAGAGCCGCAGAGCGAGATGGGCTCTCTTTTATCTTCCTTCAAACCCCCCAAGCTTGTGCCCTCCCATGATCCTTTGAGTCTCTTCCTAAGCCAGGGAGGGCACCGCTTCAGGGGTGGGGGAGCAAAGTGGGGGTGAGTGTAGTTAGAAACATGAAAGGCAGTTTACTCTCACGGTTCAGTCGCTGGCCCCCCTCCGGGCTCTTGGACGGGCATACCTTGGCATGCAGACTCTGTGGTTTGTTGGAGAGGATGTCTGTGGCTTCCCTGCAGCGGGTGGAAAGGTTCAGGATGGCAGCAGCTGCTGCTATGTGGGTGTCTTCACTGCACTGACCGTAGCTGTAGGAGCTGGCACGACCAGGGCTCTGTGTGTGGGCGCCTGCACTAGGCAGCCGATTAGGAAATTTCGCTGGATTTGAAAAATGCTTTGCTGTTGAAAAGAGATTTGATTAGCAATTGCATGTATGTGGTTTTAGTCATTACATAGATTTGTTTTTTAAGATATAACTTCTTATGGTAAAATAAGTGAAGAATGAATTAAAATACAATCTATTATCCATTGGTACATGAAATGAAAGTGATTCACACTGGTTTTCACAGAGGTTCACAGATCAAATGATGCAATTTCTGGGAGGGAATGCCTATTCTCTTAATATTTTTTTGTATTTATGCTTCCTATGACAAAAACTCCATAAATGTTATGGGGCAGGTGCATTGGCAACATGTGTGGCAAAAATTGTAGGTGAAAAACACACTAGCCCAACCCATCAGGAGCTACAGAGAGCTGACGGCGTGTCGACATGAAAACTACATGTGAGGAACAATAATTGCAGCAGAGAAAAAAAGTATGTCCTTCCAATGTTTGTTTTCACAGTGCAATTTATACTTAGACATAGAATTATATTTTCATTTTTCTGAGACAGAGCCTCAAGCTGTCACCCTGAGTAGAGTGCTGTGGCATCACAGCTCACAGCAACCTCTAACTCCTAGGCCCAGGTGATTCTCCTGCCTCAGCCTCCCAAGTAGCTGAGACTAAAAGCGCCCGCCGCAACGCTCGGCTATATTTTGGTTGCAGCCATCATTGGTTTTGGTGGGCCCGGGCTGGATTTGAACCCAGCGGTTCAGGTGTATGTGGCTGGCGCCTTAGCCACTTGAGCCACAGGCGCCGAGCCTATGTTTTCATTATTTGATATGTGGGTTTGTTCTGTGTTGAAACCAGTAGAAGTTACTCTTCAGCCAGCTAGATGGAACTAAGTGGATGGTGGGTCTTTCCTGAGCTGGCATTTTGCATACTCAAGGAGAGTGAGACAAGCGAAGGACAGGGAAGAAATGTTCTCAAGGTGAACAGAAAGGGGGTTTAGTTATCAAGGCTCAGTTTCTGTTTTGTATTTCTGTTGTGGGTATCAAGACATCACCAAGAGATGGAATTAAATATATTTTTCTTTATTCCATGGTGTTTGCAAACATCTTTCAAGGTTACAAGAGAAGCACCCAAGATTTCACGTGGGCTAATATAAAACATACAGCTATTTATTTTGCATTGCATATTGTTTATCTTAAATATTTGATTGTTACTTTTCTTAAATTAAAATGTAAAACATTACCAAATGTTATTTCCATGATTACAAGAATATGAAAGTGTCACTGAACGTTTTGCACCTTCAAAATCAATATGCATGCTACGGGAATATGTGAAATGCTCTTACTAGCTAGCATGGCCTGTATGAAACATGTAGGTGTGTATGCTGCACGTCTATGTAATAAAATAGTGTATATACAAGCAAACTGTATGAATAGATAGGTACAAATCTCTGTGCGTGAGTGTGCGTGTGTGTGCCGGCTGGGACTCATGTTTCTTTTGGAATACAGTGCACTCCTCACTGATGCGCAGATCCCTTTCAAGCTTGTTCATCCCCTATGGGGATTTATTTGGCCTTCTGATTCTCTAAAGAGTTGATGGACATCACACAGTGAAGCGAATATCCTGCATTCACACGAGCATTCAGGCTAGGCAACCTGGTCTAAGATCAAAGGGATTCCACGGATTTGCAGAAGGTTGCAATAAATCCATGGTCTGTGAGGACTTAAAGTGGGGCATGATTTAGCTGCTTCTTTCATGGAAGTTAAATTCCTGTGATGCAGAAACCATTTCCCATGTTTGTTTTCAATATTATTTTCTCACCATTTCACTAGACGTTTTTTATAAGGACTCCAAACAACTTAAAGAAGTGTGTCCAGGAAAAACATCAACTCTTTATGTGATGCCATTTTGAGTTATGGTCTTCTACAGGGACATGTTAGCATTAAAGAGTATTGACCCATTTTAAATGTTTCAATATTAATTCCTCCATTTATGGGTAAATATCTCCATAGCCACATTTTTTTTCCTAGTAAAATCTTAAGTCCTGAATTGTGAGTTTTTAACTTTTCGCATCTTCCTCTATCTCCAGTCTGAATCCTTTTGCTGAGTTCAGTAATATTTAATTTAATTTAATTTATTTATTTTGAGACAGAGTCATACTCTGTGCCATGGGGTAGAGTGCCCTGGCATCATAGCTCACAGCAACCTCAAACTCTTGGGCTCAAGCAATCTTCCTGCCTCAGCCTCCCAAGTAGTTGGGACTATAGGTGCCAGCCACAATACCCAGCTAGTTTTTCCATTTTTAGTAGAGATAGGGTCTTGCTTTGCTCAGGCTGGTGTTGGACTCTTGAGCTCAGGTAGAGCTTTGGCCTCCCAGAGTGCTAGGATTATAAGTATGAGCCCAGTCTAAGTTGAGTAATATTTTAAACAGTATTTCAACATTTTATCTGTTAATTTCCATGATTTCAATATAAACAAAATTACTACATTAAAACAGCTATCAACATTTGAATCCCACTTCCAGCTAAATGTGAATTAAATATTTCTTAGAATTATTATATTTGGATCAACAAGGATGCCATATTTGTAGAATAATTAAATTTATTATTCACTAAATTCTGTGTACCTTTAGCATAAAATCAGTAATATTGATCAACTTGTTGTTTTTCTTATTTTATTTCACTGTATAATGTACTTTCTCTCCTGGCAGCTGTAAGTAACATCTTATATATTTGAGTACACCCAACCACACACATGCACATACATACATACACAAAAAATGCATTTTGAAGAGTAAGTATGAGAATTCCAAGCTTACATTCAGGAAATGGTGGTGTTTTTCGTCCTTGCCCTGTCTGTACAAGGGAGCGTTTACCAAAAACTTGGGCATCAAAACTGGCATAATCAAATGGTACTTTTCCAAATTTCTCTTGTTCCTTTGACACTGTAGCTCTGGGAGAGGTGATGGTTTGTGATCGGAAATTGAATTCAATTTGTTTCACTAAGCTTGTCCTGGAGAAAGGGGGAAAGTAGTTCAGAAGAAATATAATAAAACTATTGGTAAGCACATCGGTGTCAGAGTTTAAGTGTAGATGCATCACTCCCTGTAGGTGCCCACTGAGACACTGCACAATAAATGAGGCTGAGGACAGCAAGGCAGAGCAGAGAGCTCTGGACCCGGCATGAGGGATGGAGAGACACTTTGGGTTCTGCATGGCTAGGAAGGAGCTGCTTGTTCAGTATCCCAGCGTCTCATCAGTAAAACAGGAATATGCACCTTCCATCCATTAGATGCAGGTGTCACAAAAGGTAATGTTTGAAGTTCATTAGCCCTTTGGGCTCTTTAGAGAAAAGTACTGTGTAACTCACCTAACTATCAGTAAGTACTAGTTAAGGTCCTGACGAGGTGTGCACACTCTGCCAGTTGTAATTGTTAATCAGATACTCAGTGAATAGTAACAACTGTGACTAATAAGGAAATGTCATTATAGTCTATTGAGAAGAATGGATGCTGAGCTCTGCTCGGCTCTGTTTGACTGGCACAGGGTGCTGTCCGAGGCAGACAGCGGAGATTGGATTCCTCAATTTTGAGTTTCTTCTTAGGCTTTTCACTGCTTTTCTCCACCTTGAATCTGAATGTGGTTGATAAAGTAATACTTTAAATAGAATTTTAATATTTTATCTATTAAATTTCCATCATTTCAATAGGAACCCCAAATACTCTAATAGTTACCATATTTTCAATATAATTATCCCAATAAAGCTAAATGTGAATTAAATATTCTTTGTATTTGTATTAAACAAGAGCATCATATTTGTGTAGAACCAATTCCAGTCAAGGAAAACACAAAAAAATTTCCTGCTGTGGCCTAATTAGAAGAGAACATAAACAAATATGTCTTTCATAATTTAGCAACATTTGAAATATATTTTTTCTTTTATTCTCCACAAAGGCATGTCCAACTCATCAGAATGTCAAAGTTCCAATGATGTGTTTTAGATCAGATAAAAAACTTCTAACTCCCACATAAAAGTATTTGAGCCACTAATTGATCGTGTTATTGTACACATGAATTAGTTTGTAGCTCTAAAGTTGCACAAATGTTCTAATCTAAAATAATATTCACCTATTTATGTGTATACCATGGAATACTATTTAGTCATTAAAAAGATGGAGACTATACATTTGCATTTCCCTGGGTGGAGCTGAAATACATTCTTCTTAGTAAAGTATTGCAAAAATGGAAAAATAAATATCCAATGTACTCCATACTAATATGAAATCAGTATATAAACAATAAAACACAAATATAGTCTAGTATGGGGGTAGAGGGAGGCAGGAAGGGGCAGGAGAGGGGGAGAGATGATTGGCAGAAGGAAGGAGGGCATGAGGCGGGATCTCACCTAACGGGCACACTGTGGGGGGATAGAACACGCCCCCTGGATTAGGGGCTCTTTTACAAATGGAACTTTACCCTGGAAGTGAGAACAATGTAACCTAAAAATCTGTACCCTTGTATTAATTTGAAATAAAAAATCAATTAAAAATTAATCTTTTAAGCAATGAACAAAATGAAACAATATTATTTCTATACTTAATAAATAAATTACTCATGGAGAAACTAGAAAATACAGTAATATTAACCAAGAATTATATTTTAAGATTTTTAATTGCTACTTATTCAGTAATTCATGATCTTCACTTGACATATGTTTTGCATGCATGCAATTCAAATGCCAATTTTGACTTTTAATTAAATCTATAGAAGCAAAATATTAAGGGAAGCCATATCTGGAAAATGTTGAAATGCCTAATAACTGTTTTTGCATCATAGTAACCACAGTTATCTGATCATCTATCTTAATCCTGAAATCAATTTTCTTACATGTATGATTTTTGTGACAATAAACATAGGACGTCACATCAAACATCATCATCTGTACTTTATTAATATTTAGGTACGAGATCTTCCAAACTTCTAGACACTGAGAAAAAACCTGGGAGCTATTAGAACCAATAGGAGATATTTTATTGACAGCTATCAATCATAGAAAGAGTATTTGTTCCAAAGACATTATATATGTATGTGGAACCAAAGGATGAATATATTACACCACTTACTCTAAATGGTCCCAGTGACTTTGATGGCATTTTCTCCAGACAGAAAGGTGAAGTCACCTATAGTGTTCAGTTGACTTGTAGATACTTAGTGACACAGAATTTTGACTAAATTATATTATTATATGCTTGATTTTAAACATTCAGTCACATCATATTACAAGGAAATAAATTTCAAGTTAAACTTCTAGAGGGCTGGAGAGTTTGTTTAAGAGACAATTTCATTAACTACACCAGCCCCTCCAGTGGGCTGCCCATGCAGGTCTACTGGGCTGGGAAGGGAGGTTCCGGAGAGAGGCACAGGAGGGGCCCCAAGCCCTGCTGTGTAGGAACCTGGCATGAACAATGCATCAGGGACATCCTGGGAGGTTCGTACCTGTGGGTCTGGTCAGGGCACTGCCCGCTTTGGGGAGAATCAAGCTGATTTTTATCCTGGGACATTGCCAACTTTTCAGCTGCAGCAATTGGACAACCAGAAAGACTGTTTAAAAAAAGAAAAGCAGAAGGATTTGAGTGAAAATGATAATGTGATTTGCTTTGGCATGTGCCTCCCAGCATTCTTGGCACACGCGAAATGTTAAGTCATATTAATAGTTCACTTAGCACCATTCTCGTACTGAAAAATCCCAAAGGGTTTTGCAAACTATCATGTCAACACTGGTCTCCCATCTCCATCTTAGAGGTGAAAGGTGAAAAAACTCATTTGTTTTAAATAAATGTATGATGGAAGGGAGAAACGCCTGAACTATTCTGAAACTTCTTTATATTTTAAGGAGAACGCACTTATTCCAATTGCACGTGTCCACCTGTAGAAGTTAGCATGGCAACATCATGATTTACCTTAGAACCTTTAGAAACATTTTAGGGACGGAGTTTTATATCTTAGTTGCAATTCAAAGTTCAAAATGTGAAGTTTTTCTGGCATAATGCTTATAAATCAAATATGATCTCATAACCTCTAATAATCTACTGTAACATAAAATGCAAGTGTACAACAATCAGCATTTTCAGCAAAATTATTTTTATCCATACATAGTACGTTCATATATAAATGCTTATATACAGTAGAATCTCCACAGCTAACCACCTTCTTACATTGGCCACCTCCTTAAGTTGACCTACATTTCACTGACTAGACATGCACCATCTGTGCACATCACTGAAAGAGACCTAGTTCCTTATGTTGACCACCTCTGCATGTTGACCACCTCTGCATGTTGACCAGTTTGTTACAGTCTCCTGGGGGCTCAACTTACAGAGGTTCTGCTGTATGTGTTTTATGTTAGTTGGAATCTCAATGAAATGACATCCATCTTCTACCTGGTTTCCAGTCAAAACCATCAAGCCCTTTTGGTACCTTTATAATGCATATTGGCTGTGGACCAAGATCACCCAGACAACTCTTCTCAACGTCAAAGCAGCAATGGTGAGGTTCCGAAGCAAAAGAGAATACGTCGCATTTGTATGCCTCTACCAACATAGAACAACCCCAGCACCTTCAAGTATAACATTTTTTTCATTATCAGCATTGGCCGCTAATAAAAATATTTCTATAGAAAGGAAATTATGAGATAATTTTCCTTTCTTTTTAACTGCCCACACATTGAGAATATTTCTTATTTTGAGTGGTAACATATTTGATAGTGATGCTGCAATTTTCATAACACATCGTCGACTCATTATTTTGTTGGTGGAAAGTTTCTCTCACATTTTTTTAATGTCAAATGATTAGCATCTAATCAGAATTACCTCCTGTGGGTGTTACGGTTGCTGTTCACGTGGCCCCTCCCGGTGCATCCTGGCGTGGGACACTTGAGCACATTTTCATGCATGGCAAGAACTAAGCACAAAATATCACATAAAGGAAAGAATAATTTACCATAAATACATAACACTCTAACAAATTTATTTCTCAATTTTGCAGCCAAATGACTTGAGTTACATAATCCACCATGCTTCTTGTCCATATATATTCAGATGGAAACAAATGAGCACTTAAGAACTTTAGAAATTAAATCCAGCAAGCTTGTTCAAGTTTTAATTTCTCCAAATTCTGTGTTATGTTTATACTAGATTCAAATGAGACAATTCTGCTCATATTTAATGTAGACTGAAAACCTCATAACTTCCCTTCACGTGTGTGAGATTTTCCTTGGGGGAATGGATGGAATAGTTCCATCTCTTCCCCACAATCTGGAGTTCTGCATATAGACTTTTTTATTTCTTAAGTATTATTTTTTTAATTCCTTTTCCATACCCCCACCTGGCACTACCATTTGGTCATTGGCAAAAGAGTGAATAGTCAGAGAACCGGTTGGAGGAGTTGATAATCCAGCAGGCCAGGGCTGAGCTGGTCACCTTCAGGGATTCCCATCTCTGTGATTTGTGTGGCCCAAGATTAAAAAGTAGAGGATGTAGCAGGTGGATACTTTGCAACCTAGAAGGCGACAGCCCTTTTCTTTACCTCCAGGGCTTAGGGTGGAGAGATGGCTAAAGCTCACTCCTGCTCAGGGGCCTCCACTGCTGCAAGATGTGCTCAGACACCACCACAGAGCGTGTGTTCCCAGAGGAGGCTGGGACGACGTGGAGACTGACCCTGAGCTCAAGGAAGCCACGTCTGCAGATGACAAAGGACTGTGGAGCCACACAGTGTAATAACTGTCTTATTTTTGTACTCATGCTTTGACATCTGTGGCCTTGTTGTCCGTGGAGGGAGTGCCTCCCAGAGCCAGTCCCTTCCTAGAGAAGTAAACAGCTTTCCCACATGTGCACTTTTAAAATGTAAACCAACCAATCTGGGCCCATACCCCAGCCGCCCCCTCCACCAGCTCTCACACTCTGGGGCACCATTCCCTTCCCTTGTCACATCAGAGCTAGAGCTGAGCCCCAGAAAACAGGCACAGTCCCCGGACCCCAGAGCCCCTGGCCTATTTTAAGCCAGCTGACCCTGCCTTGTCAATTCCTTCACTCAGAAGCCACAATTAAGTCTCTTGCCCACTATCCCCTCTCCCTCCCTGTGTGGGGACCTTGACATGGTGCGACCCCATTCTTGGGAGCTATGAGTAAATAACTATCTTTTCAATGGTAATTATTGTACCTCACCCTCTCTATTAGCATACCACATTTTAAAACTCACAGATAGGTGGAAATTGCCTTGACACAGAGAAGACCTTTTTGCTGTTCCTAACTCCACATTGGAAGAGGAAGACGGTAAGTAACACCAGGAGGGGGCGGCATCTACAGGAAGGTGCCGCTTCCTCTGGAGATGAGCAGTACTCACTTTCCAGGGGGACCCGCACTTTGTGGGGACACCCCGAAAGGCTGCGGTGGTGGGGGTAGAGCCCCGTCACGTGTCCTGTGCCATCGCACCCGGGGATGGGGCACTTGGTCTCCCTCTTTTCAGGCCTTGGTGAATCTATAGAGAAATTAAATTGAGAAATGCATCTGGTCATTCTTTCCCTCCCCATTCAACAGACTGGCCTTGCAGGCTGACATTCTCACTTTATTCAGTTTTACCCTCATAAACATTCTTCTCACATTGCCTTGAATAAGACCCTCAACTAAGACCTGTGGAAACATAAAACATGTTTTCAATTTTCTTGGTTTCCTAAGCAAAGGCTGACACAGGGCAAAGGAGTGTTAAAATACAGAGATGGTTTGTGTGGTTATGTCACATATTATAGTTAAAGCCTCATTATGAAAAATCAACCCTGTGCCAGAAGACAAACAAGCTCCCAAAAAGAATAAAAAAGTGAGAAAGAAGAAAGAATTTACTTAAATTGAATCCATCTCTTATTGAAAGAGTTCAGAAAAAGCCAGATTCGAAATTACAAAACAAAGAAACCACCATGTCTGAGAGTTCTCTGTGGCCTTGGCCCTGGGTCCCAGTCTGGGCCTGCCAGCTGCTCCTACCAGGCACAGCCTGCCCCCGGCAGAGCACTGCTGCCCTCCCCTGCCTGCCCTGCCCAACCCATCTAAAAACAACTAAGAGTATATTATAAATGTCTTACCACAAAAATAAGTAAGTGAGGTGATGGTTATGTTAATTAGTTTGATTTAAACATTCCACATTGTATGCCAAGTCATCACACAGTACCCCATAAATGTGTACAGTTATGATTTAATAAAAATTAAAATAAATTCAAAAACATTTTCTGTCTTGTCAAAAAGAAAAAGAAAAAGTGCCCAGACCCCAGATTCCAAAATCCCCGCGGGTTGCCACTGTGGATCAACGCACAGTGAGTGGAGTCAGAAGCTGTGGGTTTTACTGAGAATGCAGAACCTGAAAACCTGAAAACTGAGGCAAGAAGCAGCAGCTTGGAAAGGAGCAGTTCTGGCAGGAGACCCACAGAGGGGAAGTGCCTTCCCAGTGGTCCAGGGGCGCGGGGAGCCGCGCTGGGGCCCGGTCGCCTGGTAAGGCATTTTGTGGGAGCAGGCGCTGAGGACAAGCTCGGCGCTTTACTGTTCCGGCCCACACATTGCCGAGGGTTAAAGGGGTATACAAGTGAGGACTAAAGATGAATATGAGGAGGTTACAGCTGACACAGACTGGGCCCTATTTAGAAAAGGTCATGTTCATGACTGAGATGGTAGATAAAACAGAAAGGCGTTCGTAATAGCCAACCCCTCTCCAACCCCAGCTTGCTCTGGGAACCAGGACGCTGGTCCTTGCGGGGAGCTTGACCTCCTCACTCAGCGGATGAAGGGAGCCTGGTGGGGTGCAGGGAGTCTCAGATGCGAGCCATCAGGGATAACGAGCATACTCGATGCTCGCAGCGAAAATAAATAATCAGTGTGATCCTGGCCCAGGAGCTGCAGCCCGAGATGGGCCCTGCCACGCACAGGTGCGGAGCCCCCATATGCTCCTGCTGGAGTGGGGCTCCGGGAGCAGGCCACTGTAGCGGGGTGCGACAGACGTCTCCAAGGCGGTCTACTGTGAGAGCAGACGTGCTTCTGTGATCCTGTGTCACCCCAGTTGTTGGATTATAAATGGTCCTGGGCAGATGGGGCACAGCAGGCTGTGTGTAATGCAATTATATGGGGCATAGTCTCTCAGAAAGGGGAGGGCCAAGGGTCCTCCAGCAGGAAGCGCGGCAGGCCGGGGTCAGCAGGCAGGAGGCAGCGTGTCTGCGGGGGGCGGGCAAGGGGCAGCAGAGGGCAGTCACATTAAGGAGAGGCGGGCTCCTCAGGATGTGGAGACTGTTCTTGTATTTGGGGAGAGATAAAGAGGCATCTGAAAGGTTTTGTGATTTTGTGGATACATGTTCTAATTCATCCAAAAAATGCCGAGTTTCAAGTTGATGTGGAATGTGCCGCCTATAGACAACTAGCCAGAATCCTTGGAGTGTGATCAACGGGAACTGAGGCGGGTCGGTGCCCTTTGAGAGTAAGTTAGAAAAAGAAGAGCAGCAATGTGGATTTTGAGGCCCGTCCTCTCCTGGCTCTCGGTCAGGCAAGGCCACATTTCCAAACCCTGTTGAAAGGTTTGGCGTGGTGCAGTGCGTTTCTCCTCCCGCCACACTGCTGTGTCTGCAGGAAGCCAGAGAGGGTGCTGGAGATAAGGCAGGCTGGCGCCCGCCCAGGTGGGGCCTGCTGACAGTCCACCACGCACCTTTGTCTTGGAGTGTCCCCTCTGCTGCGAGAAACAAAGGTGCAGATGAAAGGCTCTGGGGGCAGAACGTGTTTGCGTGATAAGGAGCCAGAAGCTTGGGGCAGCTCTCAAGCCTGGCTCTTGTTCTTTTATTTTCTTTGCACAATGGTGCATAATGAGGGTGACTTTATACTCTGGTGATGGTACGTGGTGGCTTTCCTGGGACTGTCCTTCCGCATACCTGATACGCTGTGTAACTGTACATACGGCTCCCCTTTTCTCTAAAAGCGTAGCAGGCTGGGCAGTAAATTACATGGGGACTTCGCTCACATCGTGACCTACAGTCTCCCTCAGCGCTTAGCAGCATTAATATAAGCAAATTTATTTTAGAATTGCTGACTCATCAGAAGTCTTACGTAAATTCATACTTTAAAATCCCCACATTCTCTCTCAAAATTGCATGGGCGAGATGTATGGGAATCAGGACAGTGTTTTGGAGAATGTTGCCATTGGATAGGATAAGTGGTGACTTTAGTGAATGGGATATGTGTTAAGAGAAAGAAGTATTTCTCATAGGCCACTGGCTCCTACATCAGGAACAAGGAACTGGGAAGTGTATTTGTAATTGGACTCTGTAGGCTCCCTCTAGTCTCAGCCCACAGCTTTCCTGCATTACAGGGTTCACCTTCCTTGGCTGTTTCACACCAGCATCAGCCTAGTCTTGATCTCCCTGCAGAGGCTGTTAATCCCCAGGGCAGGACCGTGGTCTACGCAGTAGGATGTGCTACCCACTCATCTAGCCCTACTGGTACTTGGCCCAACGAGTACAAATATGGATTCTATTGCCTTCTTAATTTTTGAAAACAGAAACAGTTTTTAAAGTTCTATAAAATAACCAAAGTTATTGGATAATACTTTATTTCATTGGCTATAAGTTCTCATGGGTTGTAAAAGAAAACATAATTTTATATGCTATTAAGAAATAAAAAATAGTTTCTGATTTCAGAGATGTTAAAATGGGTAAAATGTATCTCTTAGAATCAATAAAATATAGTATATAAAAATTATGGGTTTGGGGAATTTGGAGTAAATTTTATCTTTCTTTCTGATTTTGTAGTTCATTAAAAAAAGGTAAATTCAACCTGTTGCACATCAGTGGAAGTGTACAGAGCTAAACCCAGGGTACTGTTCCAAACCGTGCACTGTCACCAATATTCTGCCCCCTCCCCACCCCGCGCAGGTCACTTGCATGGCAGTACTATCTTGCTCCTTACAACATGACATTATTTTATCCTTCTTTGTTTTTCCAAAGTTACAAGACTGTAGGTGAGTGCTAAAATGGGTCTAAAATTACAAAATACACAATTTGCTTCTGGATAAATCTCAGGAATCAGAACTTCTGAACCACACCAACACGTTATTCTAGTAAGCCCTCAGGGTCCACTGCCTTGATTTTCTCTAAGATACTCATCCCCCAGCTTTAGAGTGACCAAGAATCCCCTGAGAACTGTAAGTACTCGTCTTAGATAGCACTGAGGACTGCAGCTGGGGACTGCACAGAACTGCTAGAATCATCACTGCCCGTCTGGGCAAGACTTGGGGGAGAGACAGCAGAGTGGGTGCCTGTGGGGGGGAGGGATGCAACTTTCCTAAAGTCTGAGAAAAAAAATTAAGTTCTCCTCAAAGCACTTTGCTCTCTCATTCACGTTGGCCCAGTTATCTGCGGGCCCCGAGTTTGAGAGATGATAAAAGTGTGGTGTCCTAAAGCACTAAAGGCAGTTTTATCGCAGGAAAAGTCAGAGCATCCCACCTGGCTTGCAGGTGACCTGACATTATTTTGAAGCTCAAAAGCAATTAGATGGCTCTAGAATAGGGATGGGAAAGAAAAATTAAGTTTCTATAATTTATCTGGCTTATAAAGTAATGTGAGATCCAAAGAGTACTAATGCACTTTCAGCAATGTCCACTAAAATACTTTCTAAAGGTATGATGTGTGTTTAGAATTCAGTTCATTTAAAAGAAATAGGTGCACTGAATCACTTTTTATGTATGAAAACACAGCAAAAGTGATAGTGTGATCTGAGAATAATCTAGAGCATGGAGGGAAAAATGAATTGTTTATTGTATAGCTATAAAGTGGCTTTTAAATGGCATTAAGTTGTGAAAAAGTTACCTGGAAGAAATAATAAAATCTAACTTTATTTTCCCCAACCCCTGAAGAAGTTTTATTTTTAAAATAAATACAAAAACATGTCTTACTTTTATTGTTAAAGATCTGTCTTCCAGCCGTGTCAATAACTTTGGTCTGCCTTCTTTCTGCTAGGTGCTCCAGGAGAAACCTGTCCAGCTCTTTGTAGGTGTTATGGAAGACACAACCCCGCTCAGCCTGCAGAGCGATCGCTTGCTCCAGCAAACTTAAGTTTCCCTTTGCTTGCTTCAGTTCACTGGATTCCTCTGGCACCGTTGCCAGGCTCTCACCACCTTCTGCCTCAATCTCAGGGAACAGAGGCTGAGCTTTGCCATCTAAGACTTCTGCTTGAGCATTCTGTGGGTCGCTCCTTTCTGTGTCAGAATCACACCTGTTCTCACAGGGGATAAATTTCTCACCTTCAGTTTTTATGTCAGGAACTTTTAAGAAGTCTTTTTGATTATCGGCTAAAACATACTTTGGGACTCTAGGTGGTTTGATTTCTTCTGAGAGGTTGGAGCCACTGTCCCAGCCATTTTCTGCCCCTTCGGAGTTACTTTCACTGTCATCAGAGGAGCAGAACGGTGCCTGTGCATCACTGATTTTGTCTCTTCCATCATCAGAATGGATCATGAAGCACTCATCTGCTTTGTCACTCTCTGCTTTTAAAGACTGGATGCCACTGTCATTTAAGTCTTCACTTATGGTCTGAACAGATACATTGTTTTCAAATTTCCCCAAATTCATTAAAGATTTGACCACGAGCTCTTGATAACAAGTATATCTGTTTTCCTTCTTATTGGAGTTGTCTTGTGCAGGTGAATGAAGGTTTTCATCCATAGGTTTTGTCATAATTTCTTCTATGAGAAAAAGAAATATTTGAAAAACATGAACAAAAAATATTTTAAGAAAATCACACCAGGTTCTGTGTATAAATGTGTACATATTCATGTATATGTATCTACACAAACATACACCTGTAAACTCATATATGTAATATGCACCGTATGTGGTCTCTGTCAATTTTATAAGTATTGGTAAAAGTATATATCTTCTTTCTAAAAATTTTTTAATTTAAATTTTTTTCTTTTTTTTTTTTGAAACAGATTCTTACTCCGTTGCCCCAGGTAGAGTGCCACGGCATCATAGCTCAGAGCAACCTCAAACTCTCTTGGGCTTGAGCAATCCTCCTGCCTTAGCCTCTTGAGTACCTAGGATTACAGGCCTGGCCACTACACCCAGCTTATTTTTCTATTTTAGTAGAGATAGAGTCTCACTCTTGCTCAGGTTGGTCTTGAACTCCTGAACTTGAGCAATCCACCAGACTCAGCCTCCTAGGGTGCTAGGATTACAGGCATGAACCACCACACCTGGCAAAAAAATACATATCTTCTTAAAATATAATGTAGACCATAATATTCTGAGAATTACCTTAAAGGAAAGGGGTTTTATAGTTTTCAACATAGTAAGAGCTAAGTGCTTCTAGGGTACTGACCAAGACAAGGAGTAGATACTTAACAATAATGGTGTACTGAATTTGGAATTATTGTTACTGTACCTTTTATATTCCCTAATCTCAGCCAAACAGAAGGAAAATGAGTATCACCATACTATGCATTGTAAAGAAAACATTGGTTTGAGTTTCCGTTCTCATGGCGATTAACGCGCCCAAAGCTTATTTGGTTCATATTCTTTACTCTCTACACCTTCTCATGTGTACTTCTGTGTTGTGCTTATGGAATATTAGTTAAGATATAAAGTATATCTAGGTAGAGATAATTAAAACGATTCTGAGGCTTTTAAGACTTGTTTACTTCTGTAACTATTGCACTAAAAAAATTCCATATTTTGAGGAAAACATGAATGGGAAGATTAGCATGATCAAGTCCTACCTGGAATAGGAACACATTTTCTGGTCTGTTAACTTGCATACAGTTGTGTAATGAGGAAATGAGATCAGGTGGGGGGGTTGGAAGATGCTGTATGCTAACTAGTTGTTCTCCATACTAGGCCGTCTTGGGTTCTGACTATCAAGGTACCCCGTGACCCAGGGGCCGTCACCTGCCCATGTGCCCAGGACAGCCCAAGAGGTGGCTGTTGCCCCAGGCAGCTGTTGTTGTCAGTGTTACCCCTTTAATGATGGAAATGGTCCAGTTGGAGTGACAGATTATTCGGTCAGCCTACCCAAGCCTGTCCCAGGGCAAACACACCAAGTGAGGGTGGTGAGGGTGGGGATGTGCTGGCCACACCAGCCCGGCCCCAGCACACACACCAGGCTGTGAACTGTGCCAACTACCTAGCAATGGTCCCCTGACATAAAAAAAAAAAAAATCTGTGTCTCAAAGGCAGAGTGGGGGGATGGGAAGCCCAAAATAATAAGCCCCTTTAAAGACCGTTAAAGACACCAAGTGAAGTGCATTCTGTGTTAATAAATATCTTTGGAGAGAAGAAAAGCACAGCCATCCGGTGTGAAGGCTGAGGGAGAGGCTGTCTGTGCGGAAGACAATGTGCCTTTTTTGGTCTCATTTATTTTTTTATAAACATTGTCTCTGACAAGGACACTCAAAAATACATCTCCATCATCTTCCTTTCTGGTAATTATCTCCCTAAATCAACACTGGACTGCCAGGATCAAGTAAATATTGCCATAGTAACTAAAAGCATTTTTGGATGAAGGGAAGAATTCAGTCACAACACCAGCCCCTGTAAATACTGCTGATTATAGGGTGCAGGCTTTTGTTGGGATCTATTCAACATAAACTGAAAAATTTAACATTTTAGTTCCTAGAAAAGAGGCTGGATAAACAAGCACATAATATTTGATAGGATGGCCTCTCCTCTCCCGAATTCATATCAGAGGAAACTCCAGGTTTAAATAATATATTAAACATAGTCTAAAATGCAAATGAAGTTTTTCTCAATATCACGGTTGGCTATTAAGAGAAAGTATAAAGGGTTATGATAATTTTAAAGTATTATGAACTACAGAAAACAAATAAAAAGCATTTTCAGTGAATATGCTCAATTCATTGAACTATTCTCTCACTCCACTTAACTACCCACATGTGTACGATAATGATTTATAGACATTATACCTAATTATGCATATTTGGGCTGTGTTAGAGTGCTAACAAAAGCTCTAGAAAGCAACAATTACCTCTGTTGCTTAGCTACATAGTTTAAAATATTCCTATTAAGTGCAGATCACCAGAGAGGCGGAGTGACAAACCGCACATGTGCCGACAATGCACTTCACTGAGCTACTGCCAACTGCCAGCATTTTGGGTCATTTCCAGTTTACATAATTGTTTGGTTCAACTGTTTGTTATATGCTAAAAGAAAATATTTATTAATTATTCTTCAGAAAAAGAGGGGCCCTGCCGACAGAGGTGCCACCACGCATCACTTGCTCTGGTTTCCAGGGAAGGGTCTGCAGACCTGCAAACCAACTTTCCGCATTCTCCCTCCCTGGCTTTCACTGTACTCAAAAGGAAAAAGCTGAGTTAGCTTTAGGAGCTGACAGGTCGGTGATGGGGCGCTTGTTTCTCCCAGGTCTGGATGGGCTGCCTATGTCTCCTCAGGCTAGGGTGCTTTTATTTGCCTTGGAGGCCCGGTGACTTCCTCTGAGCCACTTTCACTGCAGTAACTAGCCTGTGCACTCAGGGGCCTGGGCATGGACTCTGGTCCTTTGTACTGTGGCCCCTCCTGACTTTGAAAACTGGAGTCAGCACACAACGCACAGCCTGAGGCAGGAAGGTCCGGGACGGGGTCATGCTGCTCACCCTGTGCTGCCTGCGACAGGCCCTAGGTCTTCTGAGCCTGGGCCCTTGTTTTGAAAATGAGGCTAATCCAATGGCCCAATGGCTACATGAGCCAACCATCCTTCCTAGGACCATGTTCCTGGCATGGGGTTCAGTTCTTCATTTCATGTGATCTTCACAGTCACTACAAGATAGGTGCTTGCTACTCTGTTTCACAGAAGAAAACTTACAGGTCCAGACAACTGAGGCCTTGCTCAAGACCAGGCAGCCATGTCGGCCTGTGGAGTGCTGAGGCCCAGCCCAGGCA